GCAGCTCTGTTCTTATCACCTCAGACTTAGTTTTACCCCTAATAAAAGGCTAATTTTATTTTCCTTAGTCACTCATCTTTTGTAAAGTACATAAAGTACAACCTGAACTCCACTCCCTTCAGATCTTTATTTACTCTTTCTTCTTGTAACATATAATTCTGGAAAATAGTATTTAATTTGGTTAGCAATTCGAATTTCACAGTAATTCTCACTAAACCTTAGAACCTCAAATTCTGACCCAACCACAATTTCAACAGCCACCTGTCCTGTCCCCACGGCCTCTGTGAGGGAGCGCTTCTAGGAGCTGATGGCCAGTGTGCTCTGTGTGCCCTGTGTCCATTTGCACAAGACAAAACACAGTCCCACGCCTCAGAGGTTCAAGTCCCCAAGCCCCTGCTCCTCTATCCACTTTCCACCTTTCTACTCATGCCTCGTGTCCCCAGCAGAGCTGTGGAAATGAAAAGGAAAGAATGCAATATTAAGACCAAATGATTAAGGATAAACTATGTTTTCATGACAGTTTGCCTTCACATTACATCATTAGTACATAGACCCTTGGTATCTACAGACATATGGCTCCAAGGAGACCACTGTGGAGAAACAGCCACGAATGCTCAGGAGGCACAGTGGTCAGCACTGTACTGTAGATGCCTGATTCGTTTTTTCCACAATGCCACCCAACTTCCACTGCCTGCTTCTCAACAAATCTAAAATTCTTACTTTATTACTTCAACTAAACATATTAACTTCTACCTTGATTTCTGGAAAGCAGATTTTTTCTTGTTTTTTTATTTTTTTTTTACAAAATCCAGGACAGGGAATGCTCAGTACATACAAAACAATGAAAACACAACTAAGGACAATGTGAGTTTCTCTCCATCACCTGAGTTGTATAATGTACATAGAGATTGAAAACATCTATTTTTGACATTTCTTTTGATTTAAAAACTAATTTAGTTTTTACCATGTTTGGTCAAAACTGCATGCAATAAGTCTATGTATGAATAAGAACAAGGTTGGCTACTATACTTGATCTTAGGTTGTTTCCAAGAGAAGGAAAGAACCGGGAAAAACAGGTTTTATGAACTGTTGCTAGCACAATGTGCCTGTCCGGATGACCACACAAAGAGAAGCCACTGCCATTTCTGACTGCCTTCTGTCACAAGACAAGCTTCTTATATCCTGCTCAGGGATAATGTGGGTTGCTCATTGGGGCAGGCTGCAGAAGAAATGTGGACTTGGGTGTGAAGCAAGGCAAGAGGGACCTGCTTGCCTACAAAGGGCTATAATGAACCATTCAGTCACAGGAAGCATCACAGAGCATTGTGAACGCAGGAAGGAGGCAGGGCTCTCCTTCCAACAGAAACATAGCCAGAAGACAGCTCCGCTGTCTGGCCAGGGAACCAGCCTTGTGAAGCCAAAATCTTCCCAAACCTTAAATGGCTGCATACAAAACTGACAGAAGAGCTGCATCACCCACATGCTATTTCCAGAAGGAAGTTTGCTGATAACTGCTGCTACGTTTTTAATGGCCAGAGGGAATTCTGTCAATGAAAAGAAAGTAACTATTACTCTCTTTCATTTCCACTTACCATTTTTAAATATCAAGAAACTGAATTTCCTTAATAACAAACCAACAACAACAAAAAAAACCCCAATTCATAAAAAACAAACAGAAAGCCTGCAGTATGTCCAGTGATGTTTTGCAAGGGAGGGAAAGAGCCACTCTCCAGTGGAGAGACCTACAAACAGGACCTCAACTACACAATCAAGGTCAAGTGATGGCCGGTAACAGTGAACCTTGATGCTTCCACCTGTCCAGGCACAGACATCCATGAGAAAGTACCAGACAACCCTAAGCAAGGGATAGCCTACAACACATGAACCACACAACTTGAACTGTCAGTGTGACAGACACGGAAAGTCCAAGCAAGTGTCAACACTAAGAGTGGTCTGTGGAGACCTGCAGACTGGTGTCATGTGGTCTGGATGGGTCCTGAAACAGAAAAAGGATATGCAGGAAACACTAAGGAATTCTGAATGAAATATGAGCTTCAGTTAACATCATTGTGTTTGTATGGATTCACTAACTTTAACCAATAACATGAAAAACCAGATGCAGGGTATAAGAGACCTCTCTTCCAGAGTCAGTTTCCCTATAAATCTAAACTTGTTCTAAAAAATGAAGTTGAATTTTAAAAATGCTTAGGAATTTAAAAGATTCCATTTCTCTATCACTTAACTATTGATTAAAATTTTTAACATTTCTAAATATTTACTTAAGACCACAAGCCCAACACCAGATTCTCCTTAATCCCCACAAATTAAAAAGCAGACAAAATCATACAAAACACAGTAATGATGAAAAGTGTTGGATAATCTCACCATGTAGCTGGTTAAACACATCCAGCTGTTGGTGGATTAGCTAGTGTAGACCAACTCTCCCCTCCTAAACAACCAGATAGATAGAGGAAAGCACCTCTGTGCACAACAGGCACCCAGGCAAGGAGGGCTGGGGTCTGAGGTCCAAGGACAAGGGCAAAAGCAGGCGAGCTGAACAGTCAGCATGTTGTCCTTCCATGGTCTTGCCCACTCTCGCTATCTACTGTTAGATTTATTTGAGTTTTAAATTTTAACCATAGTCCTTTTTTGTCTCTAGAATTTCCATTCTGTTATAATTTCAAGTTCTTTCCTACAATTATTTTGCCGTTTGATTTCTTGAACATATTAATCATAGTTGATATAATCACAGAATGTATTAATTGCAGCAGTGGCAGTTAAAGTGCCAAGAGTCCCCAAAGGAGACACTGTTGGGACAATAACTGCAATGCACGGCCCACCAAGCAGACGGATGCTATTAAAGATGGTCTCTCAGGACAACTGGAAATACATCAGCCTCCTCACAAAAGTCAGGCTCAGCCAGTCAGCTTCATCCCTGAACAGATCAGCCCATCAGAAGATGGTAAGCACATCCCTGCAAGGATAAGGGAGCGCGACCCAAAGTCCCATGTTACCTCTACATTCTTACAAACAGTGGCCACACGAGAGAACAGTAACAACAAAACAACAAATAACAACCAACCAACAGACATACTAAGATTAAATGACCAGAAACGAGGTAAGAGAACCAGACAATGAAATAGTTTCAGAAGAGACAGGTAACAGATAATGTGGTTAATATGTTCAATAAATTAGGTGACAAGATAATTGTTATAAAGAACTTGAAATTGTAACAGAGGGAAATTCTGGAAACAAAAAAGGACTATGTGGAGAAAAATTCAGACAGAGTGCCCTGGAAAAATACTCCTTGAAACTAGGCTTCAATAATCAAAGAGGAGAAGCTTAATTAACAGGTTAACACTAAAAGCTATTAAAAGAATGACAGCTAGTAAGTAAATAGAAGGGAATAAATGAAATTTCAAAAAACTTAATCTAAAAAAGGCAAGAAATAAAGGAAAAACAATACATAGGGCAGGCAGGAAAAATATAAAAGAAATAGTAAGACAGGCTATTCAAATACCAATGTATCAAGAATTGCATTAAATGTGAGTAAGTATTTCAAATATTCAGACTGACAAACTTTTTAAAATACCTGACGTTTATAAGTTGCTCACATTAGGACTGGCGGAGTGGCTCAAGTGGTAGAGTGCCTGCCTAGTAAGCCCGAGGCTCTGAGTTCAAACCCAGTACTACTAAATAAATAAACAGTAATAATGTGCTCACATTAAATGTAAACATACAGAAAGGTTGAAATTAAAAGATGTACAAAAACTACCCCATGCAAATACTAACTAAAGAAACTTCTAGATGTTACATAAATACTGAATAAGGTAGCTTGAAGGTAAGAACCATTGCTAAAGAGGAAAGTTTCCTAAAGTACAAAAGGGTAACTCTACTACTGATCCTAATTATACAGCCTCAAAAAAGTAAAGCAAAATCTGACAAAACTAAAAGGAAGCAGGACTTTGCTTTCCCCTCCCAGCAGAGGCCCTAGGAAGCGCATGCTGGGTTAGCAATGGGAGTGGCTGCTTCTGGCAGTGGATGCTGTGCATGAGGTGAGATGATGTTAGTATGGGTGATGGCCAGTGAGGAGCCTTCCTCCCTTCACCAAGGAAGCTGCAGCCTATACAAGTCTACTTGCAAAGACAGATAGTCCTTGCAGGTGTCCTTGATAGGCAAATCATGTAGCAATGTGAGTGGCAGGTGCTGAGTGAGGTCCTGATGACTGTGTTTCCCAATGTCACACTCAACAAAATCACTTTTAAAACAACCAAAAGAACTTAGCATTAAGAAAATGCCAAGTACTCAAGTAAGGAAAAAAGCACTGGGACACACTCTGACCCGTGATTGATGCCTTGGGCAGTCTACAACATCAGCTCTAAAGACATTTGCTGCAGAAACAGCTCTCAGGAATGCAAAGCCGTCTCCACATTCAATGCATGGCTTGGAATGCAGACTTCACTATGGTTATTTCCCACGTTTGCCAATAGAAACCACAGCAGCCCATGGAAAGGATTGGATTCCTATTCCACAGCCACGAGGATGCTCAGTGCAGGCATGGCTCCCCTGCCAGGCTCCTGGTCCCTTGCTTCAGGGAGCTGGCTGGAGTTGAGTCTTAAACCAATATCAGAACAAGTGACTCACAGGCAAGGTGTGAAATTTACAGCAGAGACTGAACAAAACAGTGCACTTGCCAACTTTTGCTCACTATCTATCCCAGCTCTGTCCTGAAATTTTTCCACTTGGTGGATACCTTCTGCAGAAACACAAGCCTCATTATTAATAGATGTACTATAAAGAGGAAAATGACACCAGAAGTAAAGCATGGCCATAAAGAATGGGAGACCCAGCTAAAGAACAGAGGACATATGTGTGTCAACAAACATGCCTGGCAAATGACGTTGCTGTGACACAGGCCACTCAGAAGAACACGATGCTCCTGCCTCCATCTGAGGACCCACAGCCCCTCCATCCCCAGCTCCCCACACTTCGGGTCTCACCCCTCTGTATTTGTGGAAGACCCGGTCACTCTGGTGAGCTCCAATTGTGATTTCTGGGAGATAGATAGGGATGGTTGTGTAGTTCAGTACGTCCAACTTCTCTTGAACACTAAAAGATAGAACAAACATGAATTATACCAAATCATCAAAACAAGCATCATAAAACAAGCATTAAGTCTGATTTTCTCAGTATCATATAAAAAACCCACACTTAGATGCTGTTTGTTCCCAAACAGGCACCTGAGAAGCACAACCAGCACCCCAGAGAACAGTGGGCCCGTGGGCTCTGCTGGAAGTACTCCAGATGCTGAGGGCGTCTTCCAAAAACCTCGATGCCCTCAGATCATGGGCTCTGGAGATCAACACAGCTTTGGAAACACGAAAAAGGGAGCCAAAGTGTGCTTTATACACCTTGACAGCAGGAGGAAAAGGCTATCAAAACAAATGGCTGCCACAGCGCTCAAACACACCAAGCCTCATTAGAAATGTATACTATTACCGCATCTTAGGGGGAAAAGGCAGTGAGCAGTTTAAGCCTCTCTAGGGTTACAGCCAGTATCCTGCTGTTCTGTGTAGGGTAAGCTGTCTGAACATGAAGTGGCAATGCCAGGAGGGACTCACTCAAGAGCACAGGGCCCACACAGAAGGTACAGGATACCACTGCTTGTGAAAGGTCTGATGCCTTGTTTTCTTGGCACCAGTAAGTATGAACCATAGGATACTCTCATTTTACCATTTCATCTTGCTGAAAACCAAAACATTTATACTTTGTTATAGTTTGCTTATTTTAAATTAAATTTAGTCTGAATATAACAATACTTGAAATTATTTCTTCGACTTTAAGAAAGAAGTATTAAAATCTTTCTTACAGGTTCAAAACAAAGAAAATAATTATTTCCAATGGATTCTTTTCCATTAGTAAGTAATAAAAGTAGTGAGGATTTCTATCTTTAATGGCTCAGGTGGAAAGTGTACCCAGCTCTGAGCCAGGCCTTATGAGAAAGCATCCAGGGCCACTATGGAAACCCAATGTCTGGACCCCATGGCAGCAGGCAGAATATCCCAGTGGGTGGGAGTGCAAGGTACATGGGCATGTGTGTCCCACTTCCACAGGGAACCACAGAGTGCACCAGGATGCGCAGGAGACAGCAGTAGAGCATGTCCTGGTGTTGCAGTACAAATGACACCACTCCATACGACTGACATTCCAACGACCAGAATCCCAGTTCAAGGGACTGCTGCCAGGTTGCCATGTCTGCTTGTTTTCCTTAGGTGTACTCATGCAAGCAGGAATGTTTGTAAGGGACATTAATCTGTGTATTTTGCTTTGTTTTTTGTTAGAAATGCAGTAGGATGTGGTAGAACGTCACACAGCACCAAAGTCAGTCTTCAACATCAGTTCCATAGGTTTTCCTCTCCAGAGTAAGTGCTGGTAGCTTTCCTGAGTCACTCTTTCAAAGACATCTTGGGCATGTGTCAGCATGCAAAAGCACACACCTTTATACTGTTGACACAACTGTTCTACATCTGTTAAGCATAATGCTTTGAAGTGATCTTACAATAAAAAATTCAAACTAAATATGGAATATATGTGCTTAATGTTAATAACTATCAAGGTGGCTAGGGAGTGTTTGGTTTTCCTTATAGTTGAAAGTCCTAAGAAAGTACTGGAAAATGGAAGAATTTAACTGTCTACGAGCTTATGGAATACAGAGCAATAGTGCCATCTATGTTTAAATTAGCAGAGTTACAAATAATGTATTACTCCAGAAAATATTTGAGCAAATATGCTTGACCATATTTTTGAAGATTAAATACTAACAATCTGGGCCATTATTCCACACCTACTTAAACTTGGCTGGTTCAACTCTTAGTGCATCACTCATTCAGGGCATCACCTTAGCTTAGGGCACATCTCCAGCAAACACCTCTAATAACAAGACATATTCTAGATTGGAGATAAATACAGAACAAAGACACCAGGAAGCCTTTTATGACTCAGGAAGCAGAGAGCAGAGAAAGAAAACATTCTGTTCACAGAGCACTTAGTTCAATTAAGAAGAATTTAAAAAACAGAGTAACATATCATCAAAGCCAAAGTGTCCAACTAGGAAGATAAAATTCACTGGAGTCAGTTTGTGGTATGAGGTACCTCACACATACTTTAAAACAAAGGAGCAAAGCAGGCAGACAGAAAATAAAATGGCAAATTAGGTTTTTATGCTCAAACTGCCTCCCATTAACAGAATGTCTACACTTTCTCCTACAATGTTTCACAGCCCGCTGTTCACTTCCTCCAGAACTGTCTACAGCCTGGTACTTGACAGCAAGCTACTATTGCCATCTCCTGGGCCCCAGGATTCCCTGTTGAAAAGCTGCTCCCCACAGTCCAGGATAGCCTTGTGGGGAGCAGATGGTGGGAAGGAGGCTGGGCTCCAGGGAAGCAGAGAGGTCAGGCAGAGACCTGCACACCTGGACCCCTGGCTAGTAATCAGTGACCCTCAAAGAGGAAACCTGGATGGGCACCAGTCAGCCATGGACTGTGGTCAAGACTGAAAACCTTTACTGCCCCTCAATGTAAGCACACAAACACACACACCCATACTTATACCCTGACACATATAACTGAGATGGCACAAACATGCTCTAAACCAGCAATCTGTCACATTCTGGAAAAAATGAGTGTAAAAAATGTTAAATGACGTGTCTACAATAATTACTCAGAAAATTGGTCATAATTTTCACTTAAGAAATGGAACTCAAATGAAATGAACACAATTACCATTGTAAAATGTTATGAAACATTGAGGGGAGAAGGGAGGCTACAAAAAATAAGAAAAAGGAGGACAAAACCATCGTAAACTAAACTAAAGCAATTAATTGAATGCTGTAATTTATAAACTCTGGGGAAATTACAGGATCCTTTCCTATGCTTTGATAACCATATAACTAAGTAATTACTAAAATTATAACTTCATGACATGAATTCTAGACAAGGTACAAAATTAAATCAACACACATATCAGATTTTGTTTAGAAAATGACAAGGTATTATTGGTGGGAGGTCAAAAAGTCAGACGCATTCCACAGTCTCAGAAAGTTATCAAGGATTTTAGGACAACATTTTCCTACATATTGTTAATTGATACAAACAAAGAAGGGTCATATATACATTCTTATAAGCCACTATCTGGACGAGTTCAAGGTTTCAGAGAGAGAATAAACAAACAGCAGCTCTAGGCAGGCTTTGCAGACAATCCTCAGGCAGTAGGGCGGGGACCAGGAGGACTGCCTGGTATCCTGGGTGGATGTGGCACAACCAGGGCTGACTCTGAGTGAACTCCAAAAATCAAACTGGAATCTAAGACTAGACAAATAGAAGCTACTGAAGAACTCTGCATAAACAGGAAATAGAACCACTGTGACTTTTTTTTTTTGGAAAAAATCATGGAGGTATGCATGATAGGTGGAATGCAGAGGTAACAAGGTAGAGATCCAGAATGCAGCACCAAGAATGTGGGCACCAATGAACCACAGTGGAAGAAGCAGGAAAGATAAGGGAGATAAACACTAAAATGGTGCATACCACCCTCAGAGAGAGGTGAGGGGTCAACGGCAGGGAGAGAGCAAGGCTTGAGCTAGGACTACACTGGTGGAGGAACCAGGGATTGCACAGGACTTGAGCCGGAACAGATGGCAAAAGGGAAGAATGGCCCTGTGTTCAGAGCTCAGAGGGCTTCAGAGCACCAGGGGCTCCCCCTCCCACATCCCAAGAGGCCAGATTCTCTAGGTCATGGTCTCCTTATCTGTAGAGCAGGAGTGCTGTGGAGCAGAAAAAGCATGTCTGCAGGCCTCCAACAGAGTCCCACATGATAGCAACTGTTAAAGGAGTTATAGGAAAGGAGGATGCCAAGCAAGGTACAAAACCAGAGCAGAGGACATTACTCAGGTAAACTCACCAACATACACACATATAAGGTGGTCTAGGCAAGAAATATAATACTTTGAAAGATAAAGAGGGGAATGAATCTCAACTGAAACAAGTAATGGGCTTGGAAGCTGTTACTCCTGTCCTCACTATAGAGAAGGTTGAAAATCAGCTATAAGCATCCCTTGGTACCCACGGGGATGGGTTCTGAGACCCTGTGGATACCAAACTCTGAGGATGCTCAAGTCCCTTACATGAAAAGGTAAATATTCATATATAGCCTATGTACTCATATCCTCACTGTTTTGTCAACCTTCTTTAAAAATTTATTTTCTTATTTTTTAAAAAAGCTCACAACTCAAAGTATTGCTTCCTAAGGTAGAAATTAAGGCCCATATACTTCTGAACAAGGCTTAAAGATGTAGGAATAACACAAGGAAGCAGGGTGCGGCACACACAAGTCACAATATCTGTCTAATTCTTGTCTGTGAGTATGCAGGACGAGAAACGCATGATGGGCACTTGACGTGGATGCGATTTTTAGATACAGGATTAGAGGGAAAGCAACAGCAGCCAGAAATTGCCTGACGCCTATGGTCACCACAAACAATGAGTGAGGGCAGAAGGGGAGTACGAGATGCTAGGGAAGGGGAGGAGCTGCCCCTCAAAGCTAAGGTGACCACCACTCACTCACTCAGCATCGAGTCAACTTTATGTTTGTTTTTGTATTCTCTTCAATAAATTCTGCCCCGGATTCTACTTCAGTTCCAAAATTTTATAGATGAAGAAACTAAGGCACAGAAAAGTAAAGTGACTTGCCACGCCACATAGCCAGCTGGGAGCAGATGTCCTCCCACCTGTAGTCTGATGCCAGGACTCTGTACCATGCCCACCTACTCTCCTTTTAGCATCCAATCCAATGAACTAGAAAAGCAATTTTTACTTCTGAACCGTAAGCCAAAATAAATCTTTCCTCCTTTAAGTTGTTTACATCAGGCATTTGGTCACAGCTATGCAAAAGTAGCTACACGACCTATGCCTCCTTTTCCACTATGGCCTTCACAGCTCCTGCTCAGTCTCTCCCCTGCTATATTCTAACCTGAGATCACCTCAGACTCATGGAGCCAGTACTGGCTTCACTCTGGCCTCTTCATGCAGCAGTTTCCATGCCTGACAGTGCCCTGGGTCACTGAGCCCCCAGGTCATGCTCCATGACTTGGTAGAGTTCTCCATAGTCTTTGTGACACAGAACAGCTTTTCTGGTTTTTTAAATTGTCTTTCCCACTAGAATCATCTTTGATGAGAGCAGAAGTTTTATCTGGGATTATAATCCATTAACTCTGAATAGTGCCCAGAACACAGCAGAAGCAAAATACTTGTTTAATTAGTAGTGGCAATGAATTAAACAATGAGACCAACCTGAGAATTCAAGAGCTGCCTGGAAGGGAAAAAAGAGACCTCAGGCTGGGCTCCAGTGGCTCACCCTGTAATCCTAGCTACTCATAGGCAGAGAACAGGAGGATCGTAGTTCAAAGCCAGCCTGGGCAAACAGTTTATGAAACCCTATCTTAGAAAAACCCATCACAAAAAAGGGCTGGTGGAGTGGCTCAAAGTGTAGGCCCTTAGTTCAAATTCCAGTACTGAAGAAAGAAAAGAAAAGGAAAAAGGGGGGGAGGGGAGGGGGGGGAGGGGAGGGGAGGGGAGGGAGGGGAGGGGAGGGAGGGAAGGGAAGGGAAAAGGGAAGGGAAGGGAAGGGAGGAAGGACTCAGTACTAGTTGGTGCTTTTTTGTTACATTTAACCTTGAGCATCATCACTTTAAAATTCGAACATACTGCACTCAAAGAGCAGCTTTGCTTCTCCTATCGCTCCCACACACCATCAAACACTGTGACTTACAACATCCGCAGATTGTGGAAGGTGCGGTCCTGTTCAAGCCAAGGGCCTTTGTCACATTTGAGGTATTCAATGTCTTCTACCACCTAAGACCAAAAAAAATCCAAACTTAAATCAAGAGCTATTTTAGAACTGAAGTACACTGCAGGTTATGAACATTTGCCAGGAAGAATTGAACCACAAAGACAAAAAGAATGTTGCAGTGGACACCTGTAATGAAATGGTGGACAGGGTGTGGTTTCCTCAACATAGCTCTGCCTTGCAGTACTCTGGAATGTGGAGGGATTGCTGAAGTTACCTGCAGCCTGGCAGAAAAAGAATCAGACTGGAAGGAAAAGCCAGCATTTATGACAGATTATTCATGCCTTTCCAAGTAAACTCACCTAGAAGTCAAGACTGAGCAACAAAGAGCCGGAGACCCTGAACATCACACATTTAGACAGCCAGCAGGCTGGTCTCCTGGCTCCAGGCCCGACTGTCCAGAGCTGCATCTTTTCATAGCAACCTTCTCATTCTCATGCTCTCCCAAAACATTCCCCACGAGAACTCTTTTTAATGCACAAAATTTGAGTATTTTTCAATGAACTCAAATAACAAAATCTTAGCCTTAAGAGACAAAAAATGTACTATTCTTCTAAGATACATGCCATCTAGACATTCTGTCAAAGGGTTTAATAGTATCACAGAGATAGACGTGGATAAGGAAATAAAATGTAATTCACTCGTCCAAGCAGAATGAGCAAAGGTCTGAAAGAATTCTTACAGCTGAGCAGCAGAGCTAGGCTAGAGTGCAGACTCCATCTGAAAGGAGACTGCTGCTCTCTGGTGGAAGAGCTCACCCAGTCCCCATCCACCGCCTGCTAGGCTGCTGTTCAGAGCACCAGCTCTACACGGTCCTTCTGCCAGGACAGCCTGGCCTGCAACTCATATGTGATTCTTGGGCTCCTACACCTTTATTGTCTCATTTGTTTGTAATTTATGTTTTAATATATATACATAAAGGATTCTGTTTTTTCACCAAATAGATGTTACCTGCTCAATGCCACTTAAGAAATAACACATTTTCCTTTATTCATTTTATTATTTTTAAGTAACTGGTTTTGCCAATATAAGACAGATAGACAGACACACAGCTGTTTCTGTACTTCGCTTTGTTCCATTAGGTTCTTTTATTAATCTTGTATCTATACTGCAATACTTTTATTATTGTATTTTGTATTACATTTTTGTACTTGGGAGGGCAAATCTCTTGAATTATTCTTTTTCAGAATTTTTCTTAAGGCCCCCAAAACTCCACCAAGAATTCACTAGATTTTACAAAAATGCACAGACAAGGGGAAAGATGCTATCTAAGTGACTGATTTTTCTCATGAACTAATACAATTTCAATTTCATCATGTGTTTAATAAAAAAATGTGGATGCAAATGACTAAGGTCTTTGCATTCATCTTTACCATCTGTAATTTTAAGAAACTAAGTTATTTTTTAAAAAAATCAAAACTTCAAGTGGACTTGATGGTTCATGCTACAATCCTGGCTACTTGGGAGGCTGAGATTAGTAGTATACAGTAATAGAAGCTTGGGCAAATACTTCATGAGACTTTATCTCTAAAGATTACCAAGAAAAAATGGAACTGAGTGTAGCTCAAGTAAGTAGCGCACCTTCTCTAAAGCAAAGCCTTGAGTTCAAAACCCCAGTCCACCAAAAAAAAAGTAAAAACTTCATGGCCAGGGAGAATGATGTGGATTGGGTGGGTACCATTCTAGATTATGAAATACGAACGGTCCTAAACCAATGGGAATAGAGCTGATTTGCCTGGTTTGTGAGAACATTATACATGAATCAACGTAAGAATACTTACTAACTTTCCAACCATTTTCTTCTTACTTTTGTGGATTTTGAACTTCGCTGCATTGTACAACCAAAACTCAAAATCTCACTGAAAGAAAGGCAAATGAAGTTCAATGTCTTTGCAGGCTGAAGCTTGTGTGAATAAGCACACACTTTCAAGTCTCCTGCTCGAAACACTAAAGCTCCACATTGAATGGGGGGCACCGTGGCAGGTGCACACAATGTACGGTGGCTTCATAAGGACACACAGTAAAGTGGAGGCAATGGCTCGTAGACAGGCAAGTGACAAAGCCCATCTGTTTTCCTACCTTCCCTCTCTGCCTACACAGCCCCAGCCTTAGTGAGTGACTCAGTCACCACTGTTGACAGGGCCAAGACACACAGGCCACCCAACAGTCCACAAAGCACTCTCCAACTACAGTTCTCCCTGCAGGACAGGGCAGAGAGCAGCTGGGTCCCCCAGATTCTGCAAAAGCAACAGGCACAGCAGACAGGACATTGACTAAAATTCTGAATCTAGGAGGCAGAGGAAACCTGTTTTTATCACTATGATAGAAGGTAGTACAGCTTTGGTTCTTCATCTGGACACCAGAAAATCACCTTGGGTCTCCAAAGGAAGGGGACAACAGTTCACCATTTCCAGTACTTTTGTCCTTTTCCTCCTGGGCTTACACTGCCTATTTACAGACCTCACCAAATGAAGGAGGTACTTCACCACCCCCAGCCCTCGGAGTGGCCTGTGCAGAAGGCCATCAGGAGGCCATCAGAGGTTTATCAGGAGGCTGTTGGCATGCTTGGCCTGCAACAATGTTAGACTCTCCAAACCTAAATTATCTCTTGAAAAATACTTTTTTGAATTCTAAAACACAAATGACTTATAAATTTTAGATTATAACCTATCTGTCATAGGTTTTTTCAATTTTAGGTAAAATGTCCAAATCTCAGTGAATTTCTAGAAGAAAAAAATTAAGACCCCGTTCCATCACAAAGCTGCAGTATGATCTGGTCTATAATTGAGCATTTAAAGTAATATATATTGCATGGATACTTTTGGAACTTGTTCCTCTAAATGTAACAAATGACCACAATTTGGTGCCTCCCATAAATCTGTATAGAGTGTGCTTGTTGCCAAGCAGAGTTGACTTTACAACGGTGCAAAGCTTAATGAATCTATGTTAGCAAGAGGGGCCATAATGTGTAATTTAATTTGGAAAAGCTGACGATTCAATACACACACATAAACATTCATATGCATGTCTGTGTACTACCTATTCCTCATAACACAGACTACTATAAGCAAAGTTAAACCACATCTTCCTGAGAAGAGATGAAGTGACACAGCTGTAAGCACAGGGCCTGGTACACGTGCAGTGCTCTAATAAGGCCAGAGCTGTCAGTAATTTGATAAGGGTTATACTTCGGAAAAAGAGGTCCACTTCTCTAAAACTGATAGTTTTAAAACCCTGTGCAAAGACAACATGAACTCTTCCACCTTGCAGAACAGTCAGACTCAAATCAAACTATGGAAAAAGTCAGGGAAACTTCTTTCCCTGTGTTTGTGTGGTCTATCTGTCATAGGTTTCTTTCAATTTTAGGTAAAATAGTCAAATCTCAGTGAATTTCTAGAAGAAAAAAATTAAGACCCCGTTCCATCACAAAGCTGCAGTATGATCTGGGTCTATAATTGAGCATTTAAAGTAATATATATTGCATGGATACTTTTGGAACTTGTTCCTCTAAATGTAACAAATGACCACAATTTGGTGCCTCCCATAAATCTGTATAGAGTGTGCTTGTTGCCAAGCAGAGTTGACTTTACAACAGGTGCAAAGCTTAATGAATCTATGTTAGCAAGAGGGGCCATAATGTGTAATATTAATTTGGAAAAGCTGACGATTCAATACACACACATAAACATTCATATGCATGTCTGTGTACTACCTATTCCTCATAACACAGACTACTATAAGCAAAGTTAAACCACATCTTCCTGAGAAGAGATGAAGTGACACAGCTGTAAGCACAGGCCTGGTACACGTGCAGTGCTCTACATAAGGGCCCAGAGCTGTCAGTAATTTGATAAGGGTTATACTTCGGAAAAAGAGGTCCACTTCTCTAAAACTGATAGTTTTAAAACCCTGTGCAAAGACAACATGAACTCTTCCACCTTGCAGAACAGTCAGACTCAAATCAAACTATGGAAAAGTCAGGGAAACTTCTTTCCCTGTGTTTGTGTGGTTCTCTACTTCTTATGAGTGAATTATGGCACTGCACAACCAGAAACTGGTAATGGCCATGACGGTCCCATGGGAAAAGGCCCTTAAATCACAGGAACACCCCCCTTTCAGAACACTCCCCACATACGCTGTCCTGCCACCTCAACAGGGACACAGCACTGTGCTGTCTTTGTAGAACTGCAGGGACTCACTCTGAATTCCCAATTTCTGATGAAAGGAAGGGCTGCCTAGAAGTGAGAGACAGGCATTCATTCTGTGGAAAAAGAACTGTCCTTTTTAATCATCAGATGAACCCTGAGGCTGAAAGAACTTATCCCATATGCTGACACACCTCGAGTTCAGCCGAGGGATCCAGGTGAGCGTGCTGGACTGTGTGGGAGTGCTGTCCCTGCTAGACTGACATAAAACATCTAGTAAGAACTACTTAGTCCCACAGCATTCAGCTAAGCTTTCACAACTCTACTAAGCAAACAACAGACCCAAACCGTCCACTGTGTCAGTGATGAGGAAAACCAATCAGCCACCAGGTTCTAAGAGGTGTGTACACTCTTCTGTGCCACACTGTGGTTCCCCAGTCACCCATGGGAAACAAGCATGGTGAGCAGGGAACTGTCCATTTTAGTACCACATTCTTTGAGACATGGTTGGGCTGTAATACTGAACTTGAGACTTCAGGACTAAACACCAAAGCATCTCGGATGCAGAGTGGCATGAAGGAATGGACACTTAGCCCCACCACCCCACCATGAGATGCACCTCATCAGCAGGAAGCCCTACAGGGTAGGTTCCTGAAGGCAACGGTACCAGTGTTCTCACTGAACTCAGACACGACTCCTGGTGCAGGAGCTAAGCAGTCTTGAAGCTCCTTCTCAGTGGTGTTTCTGCAGCTAGAAAACCTTCAAGAAGGATTTTTGGAACTGAAATCCGAGGGTCAAGTACCTCTGCTTAGGCTGGGTATTCAAATAGCTCTCTCTGTTCCCATGGGCATAAATTTGCAAACCAACTTTTTTTCCCCCTGCTCATCTGGTATTGAAAACAGAGAACGGGTTGAAAGGAGCCCCCACTTCACTGTCTTTCCTACCTAAGAAAAGCTTGGCTGGGCATGGTGGCTCAAGCCTATAATTCTAGCTACTTGGGAAGATTGTGGTTTGAGTTCAGTCTGGGCAAGGAGTTCACAAGACACTATCCCACTCGTAAAAATAACTGGGCATGGTGGTGCAAGCCTACCCTTCCAGCTATGTAGGAAGCATAAGTATGAGGATCATGGTCCAGGCTGGGCCAGATATAAAGTGAGACTCTATCTCAAAAATAAAAAGCAAAAAAAGGCTGGGTGCATGGCGTAAGTGGTATAGCATCCGCCTAACAAAACTGAGGCCCTGAGTTCCTACCCCAGCACCACCAAAAAAAGAGGAAAGAAAAAAAAAGCTTAGCATATGCAAGGAGAGATAACATCAGCAGTAACGTATATGATGGGAAAACTTTTCAATTTAAAATTAAAGCTCTTCTTCCTAATTACTACACTTTGTTTTAATCACAATTGTAGATTACTTTGAGATTTTAAACAAGGTTATCGAACAATTGGATTGGATTTGGACCTAGAGAGAGTAGTAATGAATTCCCTTACATACACACGCCCGGACTTCAAAACAGCAATCTGCAGCATGGATGAAAGCCCACTTCTGAGTGCTTCCCAACAAGAGAGAAATGGACAGAGGAAAAGAAAGTTCTGAAGGATGTTGAATAAACTGTCTCTGGAGACTATCTCTCATGAATTTTCTCCACAGGTACACTGAATATTTCAGGCAATGCTCGGCTATTTATTTTACTCAAAAATACATGAGTACTCTAGTGCTGAAGCCTGACATATATTAGAACTTGTAGCATCAAAAAGACTTTAAGGAAATAACAAAACAGAAAAAGTATCAAAAAAAGCAAATCAAAACACCCCACAAAAACTGAACTGAAATGTTTCCTGTCATCCTTGTTTATAACATTGACCAAAACACCCAGACAACATCCACAACACTGAATAAGGGAGAAAGCTCCCTGGGCTGTTGGGGATAACAATCTACCTGTGAAAACGCTTCAGTCCTACAAAGCAATGGTGTGCCTGTCTCACCTCATCTTGGGGAGGAAGGTGTTCTTGTAGGCATTCTCAATGTCTTGGAGATAGGCAGAAGTGATCTTCATTTCATGTGGCTAAAAAAACCAGAAAAACCAAATTAGAAAACATTCACACATCATTTTCTTTTACCTGTACATACATAAAATGTGAAGACGACCAACAGCACTGCTTTCTGATAACAAGGTGAGCAGGCACTTTGGAGTGACAGGCAGGAGTATCAGAACAGTAAAAATAATACTTGACTGCAGTGAAGACCTAGGCTGCCTAGCTGAGACCCTGGCTCAACCTTCCTCCGCAGACTCCAAAAGTACATGTCTCTAGAACAAGGTCAGTCTTGCTACCTATCTTTCTGTAGCACTCCATGACCAATGCAGGTAATGAAAGGGTACTGACATCATGAGGGGTGGCCTGCTTCTCTACTTGCCCTCAGCCACCTCCTCTTTGTCACAGACCTTTTCTTGGTCTCTCCACTCTTCCCCTTCTCTGCCACCTCTCCCCTCACTCTACTACTCACCTCCCTTGTCTGCTATGTGCTAAGCAAACTTTAGAAATTTTAAATTTCAATTATGCCTGGCAAGTTTTAGAACTTCTTAACAATTAGCAACATCAACAGCTAAGCTGCTTTGTCTTTTGACCATTTTCTCTCCTTCATAGCCTTTACCTCTACTTGATACACGGTATTTACTTATTTTCTCCATCGGAGCATGAGCTCCTGAAGTGAGGGACTTGCACACCTGTTCACACACACACAGCCTAGCACCAGGGTCTAGCATAAGCACTTGTGGGAGGAGAGTAGAGGGAGAAAGAAATGGTCAGGCTTACTGCTTTGACTTACAAAATGATGGAAACCTTCTAAAACTGGACTGTGGTGGTAGATGCTGCAATTTGGTAAATTTGCTAAAATCACTGAGTTATAAACTATAAATTATAACTCACTAAAGCTATTCAAAAAGTGAAAAGAACCACTTATTCAGAGTATTGCCTGTATAACCCTGGCTAGCAGTGAGACCAGGCACAGGGAAAACGTGACAAAGGCAACCGCATTCCCATAACTCTGACCACAAAGGGATCAATTTCTACAGGCAAGCTGCTATAACTGGGGGCTGTATTCCAGTAAGGCCTGGGCCCAGGGCAGGCACCTCTGTGCTCCCAGTGTCCAGGAGGGGCTTGGTACATACTGGGTGAAGTGCTTAAAGGGTGACAGGGTGATAAACCGCCATCACTAGCTATGGCCCACGTGAAATAAAACTGCATCAGGTTGGTCATAGGATACCATATTAACAATACAAAACACAACCTTTGCAGAAATATGACCTGCAAATGGTAGACAAAATGTTCAGTTACTAGTTAATTTTGCCAAGTGAGTTTTAGGTATTCTTATAGCTATTCTCAAAGGCCACAACGGGGAAGTACAAACTGCACTAAAATAAAAATAGAAATAGGAATACACGCTTACTGATGATAGAATGTCTCTCTTGTAACATGTCTCCTTACAAAGCAGTCATTTTAGCCAGTGACAGTATTCATCTGACTTTACTTGGATTAATAAAAAAAAAAAAAAAAAGGTGCTGGCTGTAATTTGAACTTCAGAATTGATTTTGAAATATTGTTATCTAAGTTAACAAAATATCTAGAGACTCCAAATATGTGTTTGGCTTTCTCAGTCAATGTGCTATAAGCTAAGGTGTCAAAAATTATTTCGCAGGCAAATAAGTACTTTTAACTTGCAGTTCCCTCCTTTTGCCACTTGATGCCGTGTTTTTAAACACTAAATTACTCGGCATGCCTAACAGCAAATGCTTAAGCAACAGGAGGTACAAAGAGGCACAGGCAGGGAGCAGCATGGCTCACATGTGCTGGTGACTAGAAGGGGCAGCAAAGGACAATTGAAACCTCTGTCACCCTATAGGAAGTAGCCTGCCATTTGGAAAAGTGCTTCCTGAGCACCTGTGAAAATGGAGCCCTGAGAAAAGGCACTGCAAGGACCCACAGGCATGCAGCCTGTATTTCCATCACACTGTCAGAAAGACCACATTTTCCTCTAGGATGAAACACTACATCACAAACCAGAACAGACCAGTGCAGTCTGCTAACTTCTGCACTCGCCACCTGCCTTAGAGCTACTAGGAGCCACCTAGCAGTCTCTACCAAAAAAAAAAGGTAACTGGATGTGTGTTCTAGAACCAAGAAGCAGGAAAAAGAGAGAGAGGCTTGCTTTGAGGGGTAAGTGAAAGGATATCAGAAATCTCTTTCCATTTGAATAGGACATGAGATATGACATCCCCTAAGGAAGAGAAAGGACATAGCAGAAGAGGGTGTCAGAAGGCCTCCCCTGTCCACAAGAACAGCTCAGGTGACAGCCTAGGCCTTCCCTCCACCCCACAGAGATGCCTCTCTCGGCTGGGACCTGCTCCATGCGTCACCCACTCTGTTAAGGACCATGAGGAATTAGAACTCTGAATTTTCATTGCTGCTCAACATCAACCATAACAAGTCACATGAGAGCAGCTTGGACTTTGGCGTAGAAGCAGACTTACATCTCCTTTTCTCTGGATGCGACTCTGGAGCTCAGGCACAGGTACATCAATGTAGATTGCCACATGTGGAGGCAGGTACTCACAGATGGTGACCTTCTTAACCTCGTTGTAGTGGTCCACACCTGGCATAAGAGAGAGGTCATCATCTGAGCACCAAACAGCTTCTGGTACATGCTTCTCCTTGAATAAAGGACAAAGCTTCCTAAGTTCTGAGTGATGTGAACGTGTGCATCACCTAACCGTCAGAGCTGAAACCTCTGAGTGCATGGGACAGCCTTTCAGTGACCAGGAGCAGCTGCATACAATAGCACCATCTCACTGTGCAGCCAGCAGAGCTTCCATCTCACTGTGTCTACAAACTGGAAGCATCGGGCCCAGAGGAAGGATGCAACTTAGAAAAAATAAACCACCAGGATTTAAACCATGACCAAAATAATTCCTAAAGGACAGGACCTACATGTATCCACCTTAATTCCTGGGCAATGAGGAGGCACACAAGTGCCCATTTTACTGTTCTTTGAACTGGAATGCCTGGTATACAAATGCTGTATGTGCACCTCTTCACAGAGACTCAGATAAGACAGTGGTCTTCTCTAGGAAGGAAAAAAAAGAACATTTAAAAAATGTTTTTTAAATAACTGGAAAATGTCAAGCTACATTTACCCAGGTTCAGTGTATCTCAGTAAATTTAATCAGCTATACATAATTATCTGCTGAATCAGAGTAATAAAAATAAAACTGAGAGCAACCACACCTGAGGAATAGCTTTGCTGTGGCCATGAGAACACAAAGCAAACACAGGACAGTTGTGATTCTCAGGGGTGTCACCAAGCAAACACCACCCCATCAATACACACTGCATTTCTGGAGTGAAGCCACCATCCTCACCCACTTCGGGAGCAGTTTCAAGAAACCATTGTCTCTGCAGACTCTCTCTTGGTGGAAACTTGGTAGAAATGACAAACAGGTAATTTCACTAAGGCCCATAGAAAGACAATTATTTTGCTTTAACGCAAGCACTCCAGTGGCACCCCCTGGAAATTCTACCTCTAGAGGCAAACCCAGGATGGAAAAAGGGGAAGACTGAAGAGGAGGAGGCATGGCCACAGCAAGGCCTAGGGTGCCATCTGGACCAAGACTTGATCACCCCAACAGATATTATCCAAGGAGGAAACACCAGGCCTCCTGTTGGTTTCTACTTGTTGGACCTATAATGGTCCAGCCTGTCCCACCGTTGAGGTCACACTGCCTTTGTTCTGCTCCCCCTGCTCAGTCTCCTTTTCGCTCCTCATTTACATCAGCATCCCACTTCTTAGGCACTTTTCCACCACATACATCACCTTTCTCTAGCCAGTGCACTTTGCTTTTCCCAACCAACACTGAAATGACTTGCTAAGGTCAACAACCTCCTGAAGGTGAAATTCAATGGTTACTTCTTGTCAGAGCCCGTGATGACCAATCCCCCCTCCCACCTTTTGCCTCTCCTTCTGACCACTCAGTTCCATTCCTCAGAGCTCCACCTTCCCAGGTATCCTAGATCTGGTCTCAGCCCTGACGCAACTCATGGGCATTCTCAAGACAAAGTATGCTCACTGTCACTGATGATGCTCCAACTACTTCCAGCCCATCCAGTCCTCAGGCCCTTAGCACAGACATTCACCTCCCTGCAGGGGTCTCCAGGGCCCATCACAGGGAACCTCACACACGGGACACCCAAATGTCCCACCTCTCGGCAGGCTGCCCTCCACACTCTCACTTTTTCCCAGCAGGCCCCTCCCATTTGAACTTCCCTCACCAGATGCTGTCCTCTAGGCAAATGCCCTCAATCATTTTAAACTGACCCATCACTCCATTCTTCCCATGCCTAAAACCTCCAGTTGCTCCTCAGTCCTTTCAGGAAAAGTCTGAGCGAGTGCCCTAACAGTAAACAGCTGGCAACTCTCACGGAGGCCCTGCATGCTGTTGCACCCACCACCCTTGGACAGCACCTGGCTCCCCTCCACAACAGTGCCTCTCCAAACATCCATCTTCTCACCTCCCTGCTGCCATCCTCTGGACAACCTCTGGAGGCCACTGGTTGAGGAAGCTGTCTCAACAATACCCCTTTCCCCAGTCAGCTGGGTCCCCAAAGTACTTCCTTCCTTGGCAACCTGGAACAACACTGAGGAACCATCATGGATACTGCTCTGCAATTCATCCTCTACTCTGGTTTAATACCCCACCTCAGCCCCAGGATTGTCTCTCCTCCCTTCACACCCAAGCATCTACAACAAGGGCCAGGCACAGTGTCATGTGCACCATCCCCCGCCCCCACAATGCCTGCTGACTGACCAACAGCTGCTCTGCAAATCTGACTACATCAGCTCTTGGGCAGAAGCAAAGGCTCCATCCACTCTTCCTGCTATATGCACACTGGTGGATGACCCCTAACCACCAGGACATAGGTGCAGAGCCTCATTCTCAATCATTCTTTCCCTTGCTTCTATCTCCTCATTCATTGACCAACCACACCCTCAGTGAAACTACTGGATTTCAACTTACCACCTGTCTAGCCATCAAGCACACAAGTGAAAACCCAACAGTGAGAAAGACAGGCCCAGTCAAAACACTGCCCACACACTCCCAGTTAGACACTCTGTCCCCCACTGGATTGCATCAGGCCAGCCTACTTTTACCAGGAGGCCTTTATTCAATATTTTCCCATGTCCCAACTAATGCCACTGTCCTTAAAAACAAAGGAATAGTAGTGTCAAAAGGGGACTTTGATGACAGGCACAGGGGAAGAGCTCAGTATGATTCGGTCAAGGAAAATCAGGGAAGGTCCTACAGAGCGGAGCTGAAAGTCAGGGGACTCTTGGGAGACAACAGCAGGAGTATGTAATACTGCTGCCCCAGAGAAGATGAAAGGACAAAAGACACCTATTTCATGAGAGAAGAGGACAGACGGGAGCGCCATGCTACCCTATGGACATGTACTAAGTAATGGCACCTATTTGTCTACTTAATGGCCTCTCATAAAGCACTCAAACTGTAAAAGCCTCTTTCATAGCCACTGTGGAGGCACACTCAGTGAGGAGCTTGTCACAACATGACTCACACTGCTTTCGGATGAAACCCTGCTTGTACATCGCCTCCAGGAAGACAAAGTCACTATAGATGGAGCGTTCCAAAACTACACCTTGTCCTGTTTAAAACAGATAAACAAAAGTTAAAACCCAAACGATTAAAAGCACTGTTAACAAGTAATTTCATTTACAAATGGAAAGTCATTTACAATGCCATTTCCATACCAAATATATTCAAAAGACCATACACTATTGATCAATGAGAAATCACTTTCAAAATCTTTTCAGTTTTGGTAATATTGTTTCATTACATCAGCTATAATAGAAACATCCAGCTCTACTACTTTAGCCACACCCTCAGCCCTTTTGTTTATACTTTTGTTTGAGATAGGCTCTTGCCCAGACTGGCTTTAAACTTGTGATCCTCCTGCCTTTGCCCCCCAGTTAGCTGGAATTAAAAGCATGTGCCACCACACTCAGCTACAGAAAGTGTCTGTTTTTAACCAAGTTATTTCACCCTCACTGCCCCACTCCAGTCCTGTCCTGCCCCAGCCACTCTTTTCAGATTCTAGGGTCTCCTTCTCACCATACCTCATGTCCCACTCATCATAAACAGTCCACATGTTCTTCCAAACACATCTCAAAACACCCCCCGCCACTGCAGTAGCCCCTGCTACCTTATCCCTCCGACCCCCAGGCAGCAGAGGGACACTTCCAAATTAAGCCAAATGTAGCTGCACTCAAATCTCCCTGTGGCTTCCTCTCTCCTTCAAAGAAAAAGACAGTCCCTGCCATGGATCTCAGGCCCCAACAGTCTCACCTGGCCTACTTCTTCAATCTCATCTCCATCTGCTTCCAGCCTTGCCCCCTGATACCATCACAACCGTCCCCGATGCTCAAGATGCTCAGGACAACAAGACCCCCACAATCAGCTCTGCCAGGCCTGAACAGAAGCCTCCCTACCCTTCCCATCTACAAGAGTGGGTGGGCCCCCAACCCTGCTCTATATGGCCCTTTCCCCAGGGCACCCACCACTCCTCATTACATCATACCTGTTTCCACATTCAGTCTTTATCTCCCAGTACAATAAAAGCCTCCTTCCTGTAGTATCACAGACTTCTGGGCACTCACTAAATAACCAATGAATAACTCAATACTGCACAAAAGTTAACAAATTAGTGTGCACGTACCAAGTAAAACATTTCCTTTTAACTTTAAGATTGAGTAGTTGGAAAATAGGGTGGTGTATACTTCAAAAAGAAACTGGAGTGATCCAAAGGCCAATATCATGCCCAAGCCATGCACAGGTTTCCAAATTGGGCCTTGGTACAGAACTCCACAAGTAGACTACAGAGCACTATTTGCCCATAGGAGCAACACTAACCAAGATCAGTGATTATGTGAATCACTAGCAAAATGTTGGAAATGCAAGAGAATAACTACATTTCCGTGACTGTCTTAGACAAGAGTGTTACCTTGTATTTCATGTTGCATCCATGGGAACCTTAACGGAGGACACAGTGGGTCCCAAAGGAGGTTTGTAAACCAGCATCTTCACTTATCCAAGGGCCTTGTAGAAGACACATTCTTGTTCTCTCAGCTTAAACCCCACAAAGCCACTCTCTAAGAGACAGCAGTCTCTTCTGCTTATAAATACATTCATCAGGAGCTATGACAGTCAACCATGTGGCAACCACTGCTATGCAGACAAAAGCTGCAAAAATGAACAGTCTCCTTCCCCCCTTTACATATGCCGTTGCTTCTGCTTGGGTATTCAGACCACTGTGGCGCAGTGGCTCTGACGCAGAACTGGCAGCATACCTGTTGACAATTCTCAGGATGCTTGGGTCTGGCCCAAGAGAAACAGCCCCTAGTTGGACCCTGACCTCATCTGCACATGCCCCCTTTATCCACCCTCCCTTCATTTCCTGTTTCCTGATCTCAGCTGACCATCTCCCAGGCTGTGGACTTTGCCCAAGCATATAGCCCTTGACTGGCTCTCAGTAACTTCCAGGTATCCATCTGGGGCCCTGTGTGTTCTGCTTCCCCCAACCTCTATCATCTTTTCAAGGTCTAACTTTGGTGGCTTTATGGTGAATTCCAGAATTCCATCAGCCTTACAAAACAACCATTTTGCTGTCATCCATATCACTGTAGGATATGCATCCCACTTTCATGAGTGTGATTTCAGTTCTTCCTAGTCACTTATATGTGCTTTCCTCCACTGTTCTGACACATTTCACTTCGTGATTAAAGCAGTGGCATAAAAATTCCATACATCTACAAGTGTCACTCCAGTACACACAGTGAAACAACCTTTCATCACTTTTATTCTGAAGCAATAACAACATGGACCTCAGGAATTTATGATCTGGCTAGAGACACAGAACTTGCCTTGAGTACCTTTATGGAAAAGTTCTACTTAATGGCAATTTAAAATGGCCGAATACTAGAATAAGAGTTAAAGAAGAACACACCCAATACCACCTGACCAAGGACATCGCACCTGTGCTCAGCAGGTGCTCCAAGGCGTCTGCGTACTGCAGGAGGCGGTTGGCATACAACCAGGACTGCAGGCGGTAGCTGTTGCCATCATTGCTTTTTGGGTCATCATAAAATTTTTCCAAACTACAGTTGCCACTAAACTCCACATCAAGGGGTTTTCCATCGCCTGTAGCACTGTCTACATAATGTATTCCTGCTTCGGGGAAGTGCTTCAAGCCTGAGAAGAGAAATGCTGAGATGAAGCAAGAATGGATCACTCCCTCCCACTGACGACCTGTGAGGACTAACCAAAACACAATGCCTGTTTGGATGCCATTACAAGAGCTGCTCATTAGGACCAGGGAAAGTTACCCTCACGCCTGTGCTTCACTGCACATAAAGGGAATACATAAGGTGTTGAGAACACCACACTTGCACATGAGAGCTATAGGTTGCCTGTGCCCTTGTGTGAATTCCTCCCAGGAGAGCTTCCATGACCACAGGAGGACCCCCGTAAATGCCACAGAAAGACAAAATGGACAAACATCTGCACGAAGAGTCAGAAACAGGTTGTAACAGCCAGCTGTGTGGCATCTTCTGATCTTCCCAAGTATTCTAGGGTGAAAAATAGCAACAGTAACAGCTCCCTAGGTGTTGGAAGCCTTCACAAAGTCCACATAAGACAACTCATGTGGAAGTGCTCTGCCTGCACTAGGTGCCAATTCAAAATGACAACTGGTATGGATTTTTGAAATTTTTTTCTAATTCTGAAAGATTCAAAACAGGTTTTTCAATAAACATTTCAAAAATGTAAAATACTTACCTTAGGACCAGTTCTACCTAGTCAATATCAAAGTAAAATCAAAGTGGAATCAGCAACCACTTGTCTGAGGAACAGGCAACATTCTGTACAACACTGATTCATACCTAGAGTCTCTGCGATTCCTTTTGCCAGCATGCCTTTCCCTGAACATATGTTGCCGTCTACAGTTATCACTTTGCTATATTCCGTCAGTTTTTTGCTTGTCTTATCACCAAGTATGAAGGCCAAAGACCCATACTGCAGCTTGCACTGTGTGCTGGTATGAATTTGGGCCTGAAAGACACAACATCATATGATACAGCATGACCATTCTGGTTACTGCAGGCATTAGCAAGACACCCCTCCAGGACAAAATGCAAAATCTGTATCTTTTTACCTGCTAATTTTTTTAATGATCTCACTCTCTTCCCCAATGCAAGCTCCCTAAGAGCTGACATATTGTCTGTCGGTACACTGCTAAAACCTCAGGGCCTGGAATGAGTGTGAGTATGATCACTACATTCAATGAAAACTGGATGGATGGGATGGGTGGGATGGAAGGCAGGCAGGGAGCAGAGGGAGCTGGGAGATAGGGAGAGAATAAAAAGCATCTCTCTGGTCCAGGATCCTGTCTTGAGCCCCTACCCTAGTTACCCACTGTTTGTGAAATAGTTCCAGATATCCTCCTAAAGGTGACTGTAAGCTAGCAGACCTAAAACTGAAGTCTAACACTCATGCTCTAACACTCAAATCTGCTTTCCCACATGACAGGAGATATCCACCATCCAATAAGTAAAACAGGGCAAATAACAAGTATCTTCTTTGCTATCTTCCTTCTTCCTCTGACTCCATAATCACTCACAAAATCCTAGCTCCTTAACCTCTCTGGATGAAGCATCACTTCCCTCCCCTGCTGCATTAACTCCATACACAGCTTCAAACCTCTCACCCACAAGGCCAGTTACCTCATCCTCACCTGTCTCCAGCATCTCCAGCTATTCTCCACACTAAAGCCTAAATAATCCACCCCCCCCAAATAAAAATCACCAAGTGGGGATAGAGGGATACCACTAAAAGGTAAACAACTGAAAAAAGTCAACATATTTGAAGGAATAACCACCTTAGTGTATAAAGAGATCAGCATAAGGACAGGAAAACACAGTTTATTTTAAAAGTATTAAATGTGCCAATAACCACATGAAAAATTTTCATCATGTTTATGAGAAGCAAACAGAGACTATTAGCAAGGAGAAAATACTGTTTCATGTATCAAAGTGGGAAATACTTGATTGAAAAATGATGCATTTGCCCTCATGAACTGCTAATGGGGATTAAAGCTAGAATACACTAGGCCTAGCAGCAGGGACCCATTCTAGGGGAACAGAAAGGCATTCATGCAATGATCCACTTACGTGGATGCTCAATGAAATATGGCTTATAATATCAAAAATTAACTAGAAACCCTTAAATGTCCAACAACAGAGCAGTAAAAAATCAATTCCTGACCAGGCCTGGTGGCTGATGCCTATCAGTTACTTGGGAGGCAGAGATTAGCAGGCTCACAGTTTGAGGCCAGTGTAGGCAAAAAGTTATCATAATCCCATCTCAACAAACAGCCAGGTATGATGGTACACACCCACAATCCCAGGTATACAGGAGCCACAGGCAGGAGGATCTGGGTCTGAGGCTGGCCCCAGGAAAATGCGTAAGATCCTATCTGAAAAATAACCTAAAAGCAAAAAGGGCTGGAAATGTGGCTCAAGTGGTACAGCACTTGCCTAGCAAGTGCAAGGCCTTTAGGTCAGACCCCAGTACTGCAAAAATAAATAAATAAATAAATATCAATTCCTTTTTATGGAATACTACTCACTAAAATAATAAAGTATTATGGAAAAAGAATACAGGAAACTAAAATATTTTAATCTTGGCTTACTTGGTTGCTGAAGAGAGGGGATAAAACAGATTGTAAAAATGAATGCAAAGCAAACTAAGATCTCACAAAGGAAGATGTACAGGTGGCAAGGGAGCATATGAAAAGATGTAACACGACTTGTCATTTGGAAATCCCAAGTGAAACAAGAAGATACCACTACACACACATTAGACAGCTAAAAATCCAAGTAACTGACAACCCCAAGTGCTACCAAGACTGCAGAACTGCAGTGATGCTCAGGCACTGTTATGAATACAAATGGGACAGTCACTTTGGAAGACAGTTGGCAGGTACAAAATAAGATCAGTCACACTATACCTGGCCCAGTAATCAAACCCTTAGCTTTTACCCAATTGGTATAAAAATGTGTTTCCACAAAGGAATCTGCAAGCACACGATAATAGCACCTTTATTCATAATTGCCCCAAACCACAAGCAGCCAAGCTGCCCCTTCAATAGCCAGAAGGATGAAAGATGATATATCCAGACAGTGGAGTATTATTCGGTGATAAAAAGAAATGACCAAGCAAGCTGCAAAGACATGAGTAAGTCTTAAATGAACATTTCTAAGTTGAAAAAAAGCAGTATGAAGGGCAACATAGTGTATGATTCCAATTTCATGACACTGGAAGAGGCAAAACGATAGAGGCGGTAAGAGATCAGTGGCTGTCAGGGGTTTGGGAAAAATACCAAGGGTTTAAGCACAGGGATTTTTAGGATCATGAAACTAGTCTGTATAATACTGTAAAAGGTGGAGGCATGTTATCATATACATCTGCCAAAATTCACAGAACTTCAGAGCACAAACAATGAAGTCAATGCATGCAAATTTGCAAAAACTAATTCAGATTGAAGCAGAGTGTGACAAAACAATCCAACTGTGTGACAAATATGTGAAACCACCTCACTGAAAGAGGTGGAGAGAGGGGGCAGAAATGATAGCAATCTGTAAAAGTCAAGGCAGAGTCAGTACATCAGCACTCCACCCTAGGTGACAAGGATGTTCTCCGTGGAGGGTAGATTAGACTCACCACTTTCTTCTCTCTCTTCTTCCCTTCCTTCCAACAACTGATCTTTACCATCTCTATCATTTTGCCTTTTCTAGAATGGAATCACATCTGTTGCTCTTCACACTGTTTTTCCTTTTTCCAATCAGAAATGTCCATTTAAGACTCATTTGTGTTTCTGTGACTCATTCAGTCATTTCTTTTTATCACTGAATAATATATTCATTCTCTCTCTCTCTCTCTCTCTCTCTCTCACACACACACACACACACACACACACACACACACACACTCACACACTAGGAGTAAGCAATTAAGTAACTGGACGTCAGATGAAGCCAGGTATTTCACTGTGGGAGAGTGGCATTTGAAAAAAGTTGAAGGTGGTGGGGAGCTGGCCAGGTGAACATCTGGAGGAGGATCTTTCAGTCAGAGAGAAGAACAGTGCAAATACCCTGAGAAAGAATGCTGCAGGGTCACCAGAAGGCACAGTGGAGCAGGGATAAGAAGGTAAAGTGCATGTGTGTATGGGGGTGTAACCTTACAAGAACTTGCACCCCATAAATTAATCACTCTCGCCTCGAGGATAGCTCAAATGTTTCCTCATTTGGGTCCAAATCTTGAATATACCACAGATTGGCACAAAGCAAGTAATGTTTGCATCAAGAAGCAACTTTTTCCAGACTTCCCCAGTCTTCAGAATACTTCTTTATAGTGTTCTCAAAGTCTTCCCTGTAGTTTCCTATCCCGTTCTTCTGCTCTCTGGAATCACACAGAATAACTGATCTTTCCCGACCTAGTTCTAATTTCTTCAATTATCCCTCAAATCCCAAGGTACACAACTTCTTCATCTTGCTCGTTTTTCCGGGTCTACTGAAGTTACTCTATACTCCCTTTGGTTAGCAGTGCCCCGAGTGAACACACTGGTGGAGCAGCTGTGTACAGGGCCTGGGATTACAGCAGAGCACCCCTCTCTTCGGAGCTCCGACCTCCTCTAACACACGTCCCAGAACATCGGGCATTGAAGCGACAACCAACCCTCTCTCTTCTCTTTTGCAACCTGAGTTATCTCCTAACAACATTTATATGACTTTTAAAATTAAGACTATTACACTCCTCTGTTCAAATCAAAATCCTTAGCATGGAGGTTAAGTCCCTGTACACTGTGACACCTACTTAGCTCCAAGCCACTGGCAAACAAGGAAGCTAAGATACAGCCAGAGGTAGAAAGTTATGTTTCTGGTTAGTTCTTTCGCTTCTCTTGGCCCCTCCGCGTCTATTGTCAGCCCCCTGTTCTCTACCACATAAAGTTCCCCATGCCTTCCAAATCTAACCCTAGTGTCGTCTCTTCCGCCACTGCTCAACATCACTCATCCGCGCTTGGAAAAGCTGCTGCTTGGACTACGAATGAGCGCGAGCCACAGCCGCCTGGACGTCCCCACGTCTACCGAGGCAAGCGCGCTAAGCTTCAGCCTCTGCCAGGGGGTCTGCCAAGGTCAGCCAAGCGACGACCACCTCGATGCCGCAGCGCTCTGCTTGGAGCAGAGAGAAAAGCTCCTGGAGAAGCTCGCGGCATCTCCGAGGTCTAACCACCACCGCGAACCAAACAATCCCGGGCTTCCCGGGAGTGACCCTAGAAGTCGCCTCCCAGCACCGGAGACGAGCAAGGGGCCGCGCCCGACAGCGAGGGAGGACAAGGCCCGTCCCGCCCACTGCCCGCTCACCACGCGCTGGGCACGAGCCGCGAGGCCACGCGCGGACGCCGGCGCCGGGACCAATTTCAGGAGCCTCAAGGCCATAGCTCCCCAGTCGACTCAAACTCAAGGACCTGAAGGGACGCGGTCGCGACAGGGTCCTCTGCTGCGGCCGTCGCGCCTACGTGACGTCACGTCCGGGTGTCCGCGGCGCCTGTCGAGAGCAAAAAGGAGCCAGGCGGGGAGAGGGGCGGGCCGGGGCGGGGGCGGGGAGAGGGGCGGGCCGGGGCGGGGGCGGGGGCGGGGGCGGGGGCGGGGCCTGAGCAGCGGAAGAAAGCGCTTGGGTTCTGAGCAGGAGTTCCGGTTTTTGCGGGGTGGAGTGTTGGTCCTTAGGATTCTAGAAGGGGACCGCGCTCGTTGCCCAGGTTCTGGGCTCTTGCAGTATGGGAAGCTGAGGCCGCCCCAGCCTTAGAGAGACCACGCGCCGGTTCCCAAGTCCAGGGTCCCCGTCCTCTTGTCCAGGTTTCCTCCGAGGCCGGGGAGGTGCCCGGGTTGGGGTGGGGCTGACGCGGAGGAGCAGGGTACCGAGGGACGCGCCTTGCGCCCAGGGGATGGGGGGTTCGGGGGTCGTCGGCACCGCGGTCACCCCGGTCCTGGGGGAGCACCTTGAATAGCATAGAAAATAGACGGAAAAACTGCAGCCCTTCCTGGACTCAGGTTCTCGGTTCCTCTCGGGTTAGCGCTGATCGCTTTGATACCAGGCCTGCGGTTTGGAAAGGTTTCTCCAATTTTTTTGTTTCTCGTGGATTTTGTTCTTTTACCCGACATTTTCTTTCTTTTAACCTTCATTTAGTTTTGAACTCAGAATGAACATGAGATTGTAAAATGGTGGGGATGCAGTTGTGAGAACTAAGGTTGTTTCTATGGATTTTTTTCTAACTGGAGAATCTCTGCTTGTAGAAAATATGAATTTCCAGTTCTTAACGGGGGGGTGTTGTCTGATTTTTTGTTTTAATCCTGGGTGGGCTAAAGTCCCTTTAACAAGCTTCCAGCTAATTGTGATGCAGATGGGTCACACTGAGAAATACTGCCCCACCCCCTGGATTTGAAGGGTGAGAGCTGCCTTCCTTTCTTCCCAGCTGTGCAAAGCTTCTGATCTGTGATGCCACCTTCCATACCCAGGTGTAACAAGACAGCCTTGAATCCTGCAGCTCTGGCAGTCACCTCTATTCTCCAAGTAAGGTGACTCATGGCTTCCCCCACTTTCCCACATCTCTAGAAGCCCAGTGTCCTTTCCTGTATTTCCAGAATTATTCTGCAGGAAGCGGGGTGGGACGGTGTTGTTTTCACATTTCTCTTTTTCTTCTCCTTTTCCTGATCCATCGCATTTGCAACTCACCTCCAGTACTTCTGGTTTGGTTCTAGGCTCACCCCTGGGAAAGACTCTGTTCTTATTTCCTAAGACAAGTTTCTTGTGTTTGACAACTTTTACTGTTGGCATAAGGAGAAAAGGATAAGAGATCACCCCAGGAAACAGAAAATAATAGTAAATTAAGTATCAGACATCTCCGTCACAAAGTTGGGCGAACATCCCTGCCAACTAGAACTCGTATCTACCACTCTGCTTGGGAACCCTTCTTCTGTCATGGCACTTTGCACACTGCCTCTGCTCCTCCCTGGAGGCCCTAGAGCTGGATTCCAAGGAAGAGGGCTGAAGGAGGCAGAGCACACAGGATGGATCCCCTCAGGACACTGACACTAACAGCCATCATGAATATTGAAGAAAGATGTGATGTGTAATGTTTCCCAATAGTAATGGTCCTAATAGTCATAAATAGAGTAAATGCAGCTGTTAGTGCACAGAAATTAGCTATAATGTTTCAAATCTCTCTAGCTATGAGACCTGTCATAAAACCCCCTGTGAAGTAAATCAAGATGCAATTCTAAAAAATTCTAGCAAGTGATCCATTGGAAGGTAAGAAAAAAAGCAGAGAAAAAAAACAAAGCAGAGTTGAACCTTCATGTGTTAATTACTTGATAATCTGACTAGCTCTATACTTAAGAAATTAAATTTGTAACTTGAAAATCACTTACCCACCAAAAGAGAAAAATCCCGGGGCCAGATGATTTGACTAGAGAATTTTACCAAATATTTAAAGATTTAATACAAATTTATGTAATCTCCAAAAAAATAGAAGGGTGAATACCTCATTTTATGATGTACAAAAAAAGTACAAAAAATGTTTTTAAATTCATAGACGAATATGTCTCATGAATGTAGACACAAAAATTCTCAACAAAATGTTAGCAAATTGAATACAGCAACATATAAAATTAATAATACACAGCAACTAAATATGACTTATTCACAGGATTCAAATCTGATATTTAAACATCAACCACAGTAATCCACTGTATCAACAAGATAAAGATAAAAAAAGTAACCAGATTGCCTGATGCAGAAAAAGCATTTGACAAAATTCAACATCAATTTATGATAAAACAAAAACAGCTCTGAGCAAATACAGATTGAAGGGGAACTGATTCAACTTGATTAAGCAGATCTACAGAAGTCCGTAAGATAACGTCATACTGAATGGTGAAAGAAGGGGTATTCGCAATGATTTCTGCTTTCAGAACTTCTAACTCAAGCAGTGAAGAAAACGATATAAGAGGCATACAGATTGGAAAGGAATAAATAAAACTGTCTTTAGATGACATGATTATTTATGTAGAAACCCCAAAAGAATCTGTAGAAAAGCTCCTAGAGTTAATGTTAGTTCAGCAGGATTCAAGGATGCAAGATAAATGTGTAAAATCACAGTTCACACAGCATTCTGTATATTCACAAATGGGGAAACTGGGATAAAAATGGAAAACCGTTTACAATTGCTCCAAATCAAATGTAATACTGAGGTCTAAATACAGCAAAACATGCACAGGACCTGTGTGCTGAGAAGTACAAAGCAGGGATGTGAGAGATCAAAGAAGACCTCAAGACTTGAAGAGGCTTATTGTGTTCATGGGTCAGAAGACAGCAACACTGTCATTTCTTCTCAAATTGGTCTATAGTGTTAATGGGATTCCTATCAAAATCTCAGCAAGGTTTTTTTCAGTAGGCAAACTTTGTAAAAATTTTGTGGCAATGTAAAAGCCTAAAGTTAGCCACAAAAATTTAGAAAAAAAGAAGAAAGAGGAATCACTCTTCCAATGTTAAGGTTTATTATATAATGATTTAATCAAGAATGTGGTGTGATAGAGTCTGTGGTGTCAATAGACACATGGATTAATTAAACAGGATCTAGAAATAGCACAGATACTCTCAACTGATATTTGATAACAATGCAAACAGTTCAGTGAAACACAGTCCTGAAGCAACTGGACAGCCATGGTGGGAGGGGGGGAACCTTGATAGGATTTCACACCTAAAAAAAACTAACTCAAAATGGATCATAGACTTAAAGGTACAACTATGCAACCTTTTTTTTTAGGAAAAAACAGGATATAAACTTTGGGTCTTGGAAAAGAATTATTAGACCTGACATAAAAAGCATAACATAAAAAAGAAAAATCGGACCTCATAAAAATAACTGTTGCTCTGAGATTGTCTTAAGAGGATGAAAAGACAAACTACAGATGGAGAAAAGTTTTGCAAACCACAGATCTGACAAAGGACTTGTATCTAGAATACATAAAGAACTCCCAAAGCTGGACATTAAAAAGCAATCCAATTAGAAAAGGCAAAAGAGATGAACAGACACAACTGAGGAGGATACACAGGTGTCAAATAAGCACATGAAAACATGTCCAACCTCTTCAGTCATTAAAGAAAACTCTAAAAAAATAACGGTAACATCAAATGCTGGAAAGAGGTCAGAACAATTCACTTGTTCAGGTCTAGTGAGAATGTAAAATGATACGGCTACTCTGGTAAAGAATCCAGCAGTTGCCTTTAAAACTAACAGTGGATTCATCATACAACCTAGCAACTGTACTATTAGGCATTTATCCCAGAGAAACGAAAATTCAGGTTCAATGAGAAACTTACACATTAATGTTCACAGCACCTTCATTCCTAGCAGCTGAAAACTGGAATGAAACCATCTGTCCTTCAACAGGTGAATGGGTTAACTGGCACAGTCGTGGTATGGAACACATCTTAGCAATGAAAACAGACAGACCATTGATAAGCATAGCAACTTGGTTGTGTCTGAAGGGAATTATGTTGAGTGAAAAAAAGACAATCTCAAAAGTTAATATAGTGTGATTTCCATTTATACAACATCCTTGAAATAACAAAATTATGGAGATAAAGAACAAATTAGTGGCTGCTGGAGGCTACAAAAGGGGGAGTGTGGCTACAAACCAGTAACATGAGGGTGTCATTTGGTGATGAAAATGTTCTGTGTCTTGATTATGGTGGCAGCCACAAAGCTATCCATGCAGGTGATAAAACACACATCACACACAAATACATGCATGTATAACTAGTAGGATTTGAACAACTACTGTGGGGTGTACCAAAGTCAACTTCCTGGTCTTAAAACCATGCTGTAGTCATGCAAGATGACACCATTGGGTAGACTGAGCACACAGGACCACCCTGTGTATTTCTTTGTAACTTCCTGTAAATCTATAATTATTTTCAAAGGAAAGCTTAAAATTGTATTATATGTACCAACATAAAAGAACAGAGAATAAAAATTTAAAAGATACTGTTTGGGTTGGAATTTTAAAAATTCAAATACCAGAAATAGGTGAAAGACCACTACACTGAAAACTGCAAAATAATATTGAGAAATTGAAGAGAGGGTACTCTGAAAAGTGTCAGAATTATGAAGATGACATTTACCTCCATATTGATCTGTACATTCGACATGATCCAAATAAAAATCCAGCAAGCTTTTACTTTTTTGACATCGACAAGCAGATTCTAGCATGCATATCTCCCATTGGGAAGGGTTAAGAGCAACTTGGGCAATATCTTCACTAAAAGAACATGGAGGGAGGACATGCTTACAGACCTCACGGAAAAAGAAAAGCCACAGTGGTGACAGCAGTGTGTCACTGGTACAGCAGAGAGAAGGACAAATGGAACAGGGTGGAGTCCAAACACAAATGATCCCTATGCATCCAGTCATTCTGTTTGTAGAAATAGTGACATTGCAGAGGAGAAAGTGCAACTTTAAATGATGGGATTATCCCATAGCATAAATGAAGATCAATTTCAGATGGATCACACATTTAAGCAAGAAAGATAAAACAATAAAGCTTACAGATTAAAACAGGAGAATGCCTTCATGACCTTGGAAGAGTCAAACATTTCCTAAATGGAAAATTAACTATAAAGGAGGAAAATGCACATAATGGACATTAAAATGAAAGAACTTTTTATCAAAAGGCACTGTTAATGAAAAGTCTGCCAACTGGAGGGTTTATGTATGAGAGGGCTTGAATCCAACAGAGGGTTTAGATCCAGAATATATAAGAACCCCTTTGTGTGAAAGAGACCCTATTTGAAAATAGGTAGAAGACATGAGCAGGCACTTCAGAAAAGGTAGATCCAAAAAGACAGTAAGCTACCAAATAAGAAAAAGGTGCTGAACATCATTGTGTCTAGGAGGATACAAATTAAATTTATGTAAGTTCTAATTACAGCCCCAGAAGAATGGCTGAATTGAAATATACATACATGATTTTCTTTCTTCTTTTTTTTTTATGTGAGAATTGAAAATTTTTGTTTTTGAAATTTCTTTTTTTTAAATTGTTTTTATTGTTTTATTACACGTATGTGCATACAAGGCTTGGGTCATTTCTCTCCCCTGCCCCCCACTCCGCCCCCTCCCTCTCCCCCCTGCCCCCAACCCCTCCCTTACCACCCACTCTGCCCCCTCCCTCTCCTCCCCACCCCCTCAATACCCAGCAGAAACTATTTTGCCCTTATCTCTAATTTTGTTGAAGAGAAAGTATAAGCAATAATAGGAACAAGTTTTTGCTGGTTGAGATAAGGATAGCTATACAGGGAGTTGACTCACATTAATTTCCTGTGCGTGGGTGTTACCTTCTAGGTTAATTCTTTTTGATCTAATCTTTTCTCTAGTTCCTGGCCTCCTTTTCCTATTGGCCTCAGTTGCTTTTAAGGTATCTACTTTAGTTTCTCTGCGTTAATGGCAACAAGTGCTAGCTAATTTTTTAGGTGTCTTACCTATCCTCACCCCTCCCTTGTGTGCTCTCGCTTTTATCATGTGCTCAAAGTCCAATCCCTTTGTTGTGTTTGCCCTTGATCTAATGTCCGCATATGAGGGAGAACATACGATTTTTGGTCTTTTGGGCCAGGCTAACCTCACTCAGAATGATGTTCTCCAATTCCATCCATTTACCAGCGAATGATAACATTTCGTTCTTCATGGCTGCATAAAATTCCATTGTGTATAGATACCACATTTTCTTAATCCATTCGTCAGTGGTGGGGCATCTTGGCTGTTTCCATAACTTGGCTATTGTGAATAGTGCTGCAATAAACATGTGTGTGCAGGTGCCTCTGGAGTAACCTGTGTCACAGTCTTTTGGGTATATCCCCAGGAGTGGAATTGCTGGATCAATTGGTAGCTCGATGTCTAGCTTTTTAAGTAGCCTCCAAATTTTTTTCCAGAGTGGTTGTACTAGTCTACATTCCCACCAACAGTGTAAGAGGGTTCCTTTTCCCCGCATCCTCGCCAACACCTGTTGGTGGTGGTGTTGCTAATGATGGCTATTCTAAAGGGGTGAGGTGGAATCTTAGTGTGGTTTTAATTTGCATTTCCTTTATTGCTAGAGATGGTGAGCATTTTTTCATGTGTTTTTTGGCCATTTGAATTTCTTCTTTTGAGAAGTACTGTATGTATGAAGTACTATATGTATGAGCAGGGTATGGGAAATGAGGAAAGAGAGAAAGGGGCTCTGCTGAGGACTTTGGAATTTATTTTTAAGGCTATAGAAGCCAATGAAAGAATTTAATGAAGTGAATAGTATGATCAACTTATTAGTATTTTAAACTCACTCTAGGAGCAATGTGATGATTGATTAGCAGAAAGCAAAATGAGAAATGGAGACAGCAACCTACAGGCATTGCAGAAGACTGGATGAGAAAAATAACAGATGTAAAAAAGGGGGTGGGACAATCAAGAGATAATGTGGAAATAGCATTTACAGGGCATCTATTTGGATGAGGAGGCTGAAAAGGGAGAAGATAAAGTAACTCCTTAATTTCTGTTTTTGACAACTGTGAGAACTTATTGTATAATAATGGAAGTATGAAGACTTCGGAAGCATATAAGTAGGAGTTAAAGATATGAGAGTGGATAGTATCATCTAGGGTTAGCAAAAAGAGGGGGAATGGAGACAACAAAAGCAGCATTGGGAAAGGCAAAATTAAGGGACCAACAGAGCAAGATCAGCTCATAAAAGAGACTTAGAAGTGATCAGAGAGACAGGAGACAAGTCTGTTTGGCACAATGTTATAGAAACCAAGGGAATGAAGATCAAGAATGCAGAGGTGAATAGTCAAGTAGATTACCAAGTATAGAAAGAATGTAAAAGTCAGATGAGCTGAGCTGCAGTGTACATTAGAGTTACCAAAACCTCCACTTCCATGGACATGGTTTTAAGAAAGTGGCAGGCCAAAGAGTAAATGGTGGACAAGACTTCTTAACAAGATAGAAGAGTAAATTCATGCTTCTTATTTAAACCAAGAGCAATGATCCATCTTCTCAAAGCAGAAAATACAAAGATAAATGACAAGTGGGAAAGTTTGGGCCTCAGTATGTTGCCTGGGGATGACCCAGACCCCTGCCCACGCCCCTCCCCACTTGTTCATTATTGGTGGGAATCTCCTGGGTCTGCCGTCCCCTTGGATTAGTGTAGGTTTTAAAAGCACGTGAAAAAGAAAAGCAGTCTCTCTGCTGACAGACTCCACCTGTGTCCACCATGTTCCCTCTGTATTTCTTTTCCTAATTTTTAATAAACCCCATTTACACCCATGAAAAAAGAAGAAATATACATACAATATTAAGTGTAGACAAGGATATGGAACCACTGCAATTTTCCTGTACTGCTAGTGAGAGTGAAATATTGGTACATCTACTTTGGAAAACAGTTTTGCAGCTTCTGTGAAGCTTGACCATACCCATACTTTATGTTACAGCAATTATAGGGATAGCCTAGATGTACCTAGGTCTAACCTAGGGATAGTTTTGAATAGCTCACAAAAGCACATGGGTATTAATAAAATAAATAAACAAAAAAGCAGAATGCTTGTAACAGCAGCATACATAATAGACAGTATCCATAATACCATCCGTTGACAGTAAAATGCCAAAGTGCATTGTGACATGTGTGTGAGAGACTGTCATACCACAGTGAAACACATGAATCACTGCTACATGTCAAACCATCAGGGATTCACCCCAACATCATGTTGAACCATAGAAGCTGAACATAAAAGTGTAAATGCTTTATGGTTACATTCACAAAACCCTCATAACACCCAAGCTAGAATCTGGTATTAGAAGTCTGGATAGTGGTTCTTTGGGGTAGAGAGGATGGTGGGGGAATGGAAGGTAAGATGGAAGCCTCAAATTCCCGATCCATCATGGAGCTTGTTCCCTGAGAGTAGTCCTTTTCTGAAAAGAAGTTCAGACAGAGGCTTGTTATTGTGGATATCTCTGTGGGTTACTTAAGTATTTACAAACTAAAAAAGCATAGATGCTATATAAAGATATTTTATTACCACAAATTAGATTCTAGGACACTCATTTGTCCTACCATGGAGCATGATCCAAGCCCAAACCCTTTCTCAACCCATCCTTAAACTCTGTGTTCCTCAGACAGTAGATCAGGGGGTTTATCATGGGTGTGAGGACAGTGTACACAGCAGAGATGAGCTTGTTGGAGCTCCTCGTGTCAATGGCCTGGGGCCGGACATACATAAAGATCATAGCCATGTAGAAGATGGTGACGACAGTGAGGTGGGAGGCACAGGTGGAGAAGGCTCTCCAACGGCCTGTGGCCGAGGGGATACGCAGGACAGCCAGGGTGATGTGTCCATAGGAGAGAATGGTGGCCAGGAGAGGGAACACCAGGATGATGAAGGCCAGGATGAAGTCCACCAGCTCTGCAGTGGAGAAGTCTGTGCAGGCCAGCTTGAGGATGGGGGAAATGTCACAGAAGAAGTGGTTTAGGATGTTGGAACCACAGAATGTGGCGCTGGAGATGAAGTAGACTTTGATGAGAGAGATGGTGAAGCCACTCACAAAGGAGAAGCCCACGAGCTGGACACACAGTCCCTTGGTCATGATGACTTGGTATCGCAGAGGGTGGCAGATGGCCACATAGCGGTCATAAGCCATGGAAGCGAGGAGCACACACTCTGTGCCCACCAGAGAGATGAAGAAGTAGAGCTGGGTCATGCATCCAATGAAAGAGATGCTTTTGTGCTGCAGGAGGAAGCCATCCAGCATCTTGGGAATGATGTCTGACACGTACCAGACCTCTAGGAAGGACAAGGAGCCCAAGAAGTAGTACATGGGCCTCTGGAGGGTGGCGCTGCTCCAGACAGTGAGGATGATGGTCAAGTTCTCCACCAGCACAAAGACGTAGGTGAGCAGGAAGAGAAGGAAGAGCACGTACTGCAGCCTGGGGGCTGTGGGGAAGCCCAGCAGGATGAAGGTGCTGACCTTGGTGAGGTTCTCCCCCTTCATCCTTCTGTGCCTGCAAAAGATCAATGGTAAGGTGAGAGACTGAAGATCAGCTGATGGGGAGAACATGGAGCCAGACCTGCAGCTGAGCTTGGCCCAAAGATGGCACACCTGGTCCCACAAAGCAGCGGGGAACAGTAATAATTCACTTACCTGCCAGGCTTATATAGGAAAATCCTACATGCCTGTGCTCAAATATAATAATGAAGAGAGAAGTAGGAAGAGAGCACCTGCTGAGGAATAGATGTTAGGTTGTAATGGAAGAGACTGTCTGCTTGACCATTGGGAGCAGCAGCAGGAACCAGAATGGCTTTCTTTGCTCTGTGTCTGGCATTTCAGTTTCACTTTCCAAGAAAGGCAGGCCTTGGGTACTCTAGTCACCAGCGTCTGTTACCACCTCCAACTCAATCTTGGCAATCGTGGTGATGCTTTCTTAAGTTTCTCCCTTAATCAGTGGTGGAAAGGCTAGCATTTGATCTCTGCCGTCGTGTTGGGTCATAAAAGTGTCATGGTAAGCTGAGGTCATGACCAAACCTCCTGGAGACCTGAATGTAGACAGAGCCATGCCCTCCATCACCCTGTAGGTGGGAGTGTATAGATGGGGCTGTGTCCCACCTCCCTGGAGGGGAGAGACGTAGAGACCTGGTAGCTGCTGCAACTGAGAATTGCTTCTTTTCCCATGCCCACGTGTGCACAGACACACTCATGCATAAATATACTCTTAGACACATACAAACTCTCTTTCACAGACACACACATATTCTCCCTCTCTCTCTTACACATACACACACACACCCCACACTTTCCACTTGAGGACACAACCCTTCCTTTACTGAGCAGAGACAAGTGTTCTGCCTAGAAAGCCAGCTCATGTCAAACATGGGGAAACAAGCCAAAGAGGCCCAGGGGAACTCCTGGAGAAGTGTTTTGGAGAGGGCTGCTCTCACAGCAGATATGGAACATGCTTATCCAGTGCCATGCTGCACAAAGCAGGGAGGAGCCTAGGAACAGCACCCTGTGAGATTCAGGGAGGGAAGCTGTGGCTAGCTGTGACCAACAGCACTGTATGAGGTGAGGAAAGGTCAGGATAAAGCTTTAAGGATGTGTGACAGAGTGCAGCTGGGGGCCAGGCAGTGAGTGCTGGGCCCAGTCCAGTTTTACCTTCTTAGTCCTGACTTCTGGTTGGCAGGTGGGAGGGTGAGGATCAGGGTTGTTCACCAGGCCAAGGGGTCCTGGTCTTGAAGAGGGAAACAGGAATGAACCCAAGACTCTGAATGACTTGGATGCCCTGGCTGAAAGTGTCTGCATAACAGGCCAGCAATGGTGAATGCTGGGATTCCAACAAAGGGAGCTGTCAAGGAAAGTCAGAAGGCTCCAGTACTCCCTCTTGCAGAACAGTTTCGCTCCTGGGTGCCCAAATAGGGGGCACACATGGGAGCAGTGGACTGGTGTAGATCCTGGCAACAATGATGGAGTCAGTGCATGGTGCTCCACAGCAACACAAAGAACAACTCTGAATAAGGGGTACATGACAGCAAAAGATCCCAGTATGCATGAAACTGAGGTTGGGGGGACTGCAAGGTTCCTTCAAGTCAGGCAGAAAGCCTTGGCACAGCCAACAATGGCAGACCCCAAACTAAATGGGGAAGGAAAGGACCCATCAGGAAAGGATCCATTGGCCCCAAGACACCAGAATAGCAGGAGGGAAGGTGGAGGCACAAACGCCACTCAAGCCAAGGGTTTCTGGGCACCTTCACTCCTGAAAAGCAGATTCCTGTACTCACAGCTGGGGATGACAGAGACCATGAAGAGGCCAATATTTGGGAGGAGGACTCAAGCATGCTAGGGGGTCCACAGGCAGGTGCAGGTGATTCTGAAGACAGCAGATTAGCTAAGCATTAGCCGAGAACCTGGCTGATTATTGCAGAATACCTAGGACCCACACTGGCACAGGAGTAGGGAAGTGGTTGCCAGAGGATTGTCACAGAGACAGTCTCACACATCGCCATGCTGGACATGCACTGAACTGCCAGCTGGTGGCTTTTGGTCACTGTGTCAAGCCTCTGGAGCCAGTGGTTCTGAGTCTGCTTCTTTGCCCTCTGCACTGCCTGCAATCCAGACTCCAGTCTCGGTTCAAGCCGCTTCCTGCACCTGGGACCCAGTCTGTCTCCCCTAGGTTCATGTTGAGCCTGCACGAAACACAGTGCCACACTTACGTTCAGGTCCAGATACACAGCACAGGTCCTCCTTGTCACCATCCTGAGAGCTTAGCTCAGGTCTTGAGTGATGAACTCCACCTGAATGAACTGTGGCTCATCAGGTCCCATCAATACCGTGTCTATGCTGGCCTAGAGGGGGCCAGACAGAGACTGCCAGGGACGGAGCTCAGTGATGCCCATTTTGAGGATGCTCCATGGCCACTGAATTAAGTCCAGTCACAGCATTCTGGTTTCCACAGAGCAGGGGCATCACACAACCAGCAGGTGCCCAGCAGACACTAGCAGTCAAGATCTTGCTGTGCAGGACAGCATCTCCCAAGGAATGCTCTGATGAGGGAATCACCAGGGAGGATTTCTGGGCCTCTGTCTGGAGGGAGTCCCCTCCTCCCTGCTGACTGTCTCTGCATGCAGCTTGACTTCATGAGACGGACTCAGATTTCACAAATTTCTGACCTTCTTGCTGGCAGACCCCAAATCTAACAGCAGAGATTTCTGTCCCTTGTGACCCCGCAGAGGGAGCATATGGGAGCAGGGGGCCGGCAGGGGTCCAGGCAACAATGATGGAGACAGGACAGGGTGCTACATGACAGCACTAAACACTCTGGATCTAGGAGCATGGACACACAGGGCAGATGTCAGAGTGATGCAAAATAGGCCCAGTAACCCATCAAGCCTCTAGAGATGGGAAGAGGGAAGAGACTCCCTTAGAGGCTGGGAGGGAGGAACAGTGGCTGTGCAACTCTTTGATTTTGAGCATTTGCTCTCCAAAAGTATGAGGGAATCAATTTTTGTGTCCTTAAGCCCCAGGACATAGCCCTTTGTGGTAGAATTCCCAGGACACTGACAGAGAGGGGAGAGAAGAGAGAAGACAGGCGAGCCCAGGTGTTTGGCCACACTGGGACACTTCACAGTGATGAGCAGGACAGGAGAGGGTCCTGTCGGTGCCTGGTGCCAGAAGAGCTACTTCCAGGAATTGGTGTGAGCACACTTTGGTCAGCCACGTGGCCATGTGCAGGGCTGTCTCTCCAAATCTGGAGTTCACAAGAGAGTCCTGCACTGAAACAGAAAGTTCTAGAAAGGAATTGCCCAGGGACAGTGTACCTGGCACATGCCTAACTTCTGCCTTCCAAGGTGATTGTCCTGTGAGAACCAGGTTCACCTCAGTGGGTGACTCAACCATTCCCTACCATACACAATACCCATGTGCCAATGCAAGTTGAGGATCAATTTCAAGAGTACATGACACCCTCCAGTTCTTCCATCTATCATACCACCTCTTTTAAAGCAACTGGGTGATGGTCCCTGTCATTTGGAGAGTCAGCATCAGATCACGTACACAGACCACTGTGTGGCAGTGTCTTCTCACTGAGTTGTCACGGAGGGCTTTGAAATCCACAAGAAGGGTCTCTGGTAGCCCCAGTTACTGAAGGACAAGTAGTTCCCTGATTTGATTTGGTTTGCTTGGGAGGTCTCTGTCTCACGCCCCATCCTAGCCCAGCACTGGTCCTGTAGACTGTGCTGACCGTTTGCATGTGGTAACTGACTCGTATGGGATGGTGAGTTAATACACTGACTGGTTAAGTAAAACCTGTGTTAATTTGCAAACCACAAGCCCTATGGAGCGACACATTCAATCACCAGCAGTTTGGGCGAAGGCTGTGTTTTCTTTTAAAGTTTTTATTTTGGAACACTTTTAGACTTACAGACATCTGTGAAGACTGTTCTCACTCAGACCTATACTTCAGTCTTCATGTGGCTGTCACTTGTCTCCCCAGTGACCTCTCCTGTCCCCGCAGTTCTCCCTCACTGCTCTGACAGTGGCTGCATTTTTACACGGTTGGACCTCCCTGGCTCCAGTACAGACTGAGAAGCAGTGGTTTCAACGAGGACCTCGGGATTTTCTCAACATAAGTGAGGTCTGCCAGGGTGTCATACAAGAGCTTCGTTGTCTGCTCAGAAACTCACACTCAGCTCCTGTAAGAAAACCTGAGAGAGGAAAAGGAAGATTTCTGTACCCTAGAATGAAGGTGAGTTGGGGATCAGTGTGAGTGGAGCACCTTTGTGCTCTGATGCCCACCCTCCTCCTTGACAGAACCATTTGGACATGGACCTTTGAGATGAGAGATGTCCTCTGCTCTGCTCAGTGCAGTGAGGACACTGGTCAAGGTTACATGTCATGTTCAACACGGCATAATGCCCCAAAATATGCACTCAGCACAGCACCCATAGATTCGTATCAACACAGAACCCATCAATGTAAACTCAGTACACGACCCATGAATGAATTCACAGCACATATCCCTAAATATGTACTCAGCACAGCACCCACAGATGCTCACTCAGAGTTCTACTTGCAGATAAGTGGGCTAATACGGCACCCCTGTGAGACATTGGTGGGTACTGGCAGTGAGACTGGTCCATAGGTGAGTCCTGCCCCAACATGAAAGTGGGACATGGTACCGGGCCGTCCCTCACGCCTGCACATACAGCTTTATCATGATGCTGCATCTACAGCATAAACGTAACTCACAGCAGAGTGAGGAATCATTGTGTGGAAAGCACTGGATCTTACCTGGGGACTGGAAGCCTCACTTCCAAGGGCTGTGGCTGCCTTCTGGAGTGAGGAGTGGCTTCTGCCTGTCCAGTGGCACCCAGGCTGGCCACAGTGTCAGTTGAGCCTCCAGTAGACTCTAGAGAAGTGGACTGCTCAGGCTCTGGGGAGGAACATTTGTGGCTTTTCTGCTGGAACACGGGGTCTCCAGGGCCCAATTACCCTACTGCTGATGAAGCTGCC